CCTTGGGGATATCTAGGAAGAACCCAGGTGTTATGTTCCTTGTAGATATCTAGGAAAAACCCTGGTGTTATGTTTCTTGGGGATATCTAGGAAGAACCCTGGTGTTATGTTTCTTGGGGATATCTAGGAAGAACCTTGGTGTTATGTTCCTTGGGGATTTCTAGGAAGAACCCTGGTGTTATGTTTCTTGGGGATATCTAGGAAGAACCCAGGTGTTATGTTCCTTGGAGATATCTAGGAAGAACCCTGGTGTTATGTTTCTTGTAGATATCTAGGAAGAACCCTGGTGTTATGTTTCTTGGGGATATCTAGGAAGAACCCAGGTGTTATGTTCCTTGGAGATATTTATGAGCAACCCTAGTGTTATGTTTCTTGTAGATATCTAGGAAAAACCCTGGTGTTATGTTTCTTGGGAATATCTAGGAAGAACCCAGGTGTTATGTTCCTTGGAGATATCTAGGAAGAACCCTGGTGTTATGTTTCTTGTAGATATCTAGGAAAAACCCTGGTGTTATGTTTCTTGGGGATATCTAGGAAGAACCCAGGTGTTATGTTCCTTGGAGATATTTATGAGCAACCCTAGTGTTATGTTTCTTGTAGATATATAGTAAGAACCCTGGTGTTATGTTTCTTGTAGATATCTAGGAAAAACCCAGGTGTTATGTTCCTTTGGGATATCTAGGAAGAACCCAGGTGTTATGCTCCTTGCAGATATCTAGGAAGAACCCAGGTGTTATGTTCCTTGGAGATATTTATGAGCAACCCTAGTGTTATGTTTCTTGTAGATATATAGGAAAAACCCAGGTGTTATGTTCCTTGGGGATATCTAGGAAGAACCCAGGTGTTATGTTCATTGTAGATATCTAGGAAAAACCCTGGTGTTATGTTTCTTGGGGATATCTAGGAAGAACCCTGGTGTTATGTTTCTTGGGGATATCTAGGAAGAACCTTGGTGTTATGTTCCTTGGGGATTTCTAGGAAGAACCCTGGTGTTATGTTTCTTGGGGATATCTAGGAAGAACCCTGGTGTTATGTTCCTTGGGGATTTCTAGGAAGAACCCTGGTGTTATGTTTCTTGTAGATATCTAGGAAAAACCCAGGTGTTATGTTTCTTGGGGATATCTAGGAAGAACCCAGGTGTTATGTTCCTTGGAGATATTTATGAGCAACCCTAGTGTTATGTTTCTTGTAGATATCTAGGAAAAACCCTGGTGTTATGTTTCTTGGGAATATCTAGGAAGAACCCAGGTGTTATGTTCCTTGGAGATATCTAGGAAGAACCCTGGTGTTATGTTTCTTGTAGATATCTAGGAAAAACCCTGGTGTTATGTTTCTTGGGGATATCTAGGAAGAACCCAGGTGTTATGTTTCTTGGAGATATTTATGAGCAACCCTAGTGTTATGTTTCTTGTAGATATATAGTAAGAACCCTGGTGATATGTTCCTTGGAGATAGCTAGGAAAAACCCTGGTGTTATGTTTCTTGTAGATATCTAGGAAAAACCCTGGTGTTATGTTTCTTGGGGATATCTAGGAAGAACCCAGGTGTTATGTTCCTTGGAGATATTTATGAGCAACCCTAGTGTTATGTTTCTTGTAGATATATAGGAAGAACCCTGGTGTTATGTTCCTTGGAGATAGCTAGGAAAAACCCTGGTGTTATGTTTCTTGTAGATATCTAGGAAAAACCCTGGTGTTATGCTCCTTGCAGATATCTAGGAAGAACCCAGGTGTTATGTTTCTTGGATATATCTATGAAGAACCTTGGTGTTATGTTCCCTGGAGATATCTAGGAAGAACCCAGATGTTATGTTTCTTGTAGATATATAGTAAGAACCCTGGTGTTATGTTTCTTGTAGATATATAGTAAGAACCCTGGTGTTATGTTCCCTGGAGATATCGAGGAAAAACCCAGGTGTTATGTTCCTTTGAGATATCTACAAAGAACCCTGGTGTTATGTTTCTTGGATATATCAAAGAAGAACTCTGGTGTTATGTTCCATGGATTTTTCAAGGAAGAACCCTGGTGTTATGTTCCTTGTAGATATCTAGGAAGAACCCTGGTGTTATGTTTCTTGGAGATATCTAGGAAGAACCCTGGTGTTATGTTCCATGGATATTTCAAGGAAGAACCCTGGTGTTATGTTTCTTGGGGATATGTAGTAAGGATCCTGGTGTTATGTTTCTTCTTGGAGATATCTAGGAAGAACCCTGGTGTTATGTTTCTTCTTGGAGATATCTAGGAAAAACCTTGGTGTTATGTTCCTTGATGATATCTAGGAAGAACCCAGGTGTTATGTTCCTTGGAGATATCTAGGAAGAACCCTGGTGTTATGTTTCTTGTAGATATCTAGGAAAAACCCTGGTGTTATGTTTCTTGGGGATATCTAGGAAGAACCCAGGTGTTATGTTTCTTGGAGATATTTATGAGCAACCCTAGTGTTATGTTTCTTGTAGATATATAGTAAGAACCCTGGTGATATGTTCCTTGGAGATAGCTAGGAAAAACCCTGGTGTTATGTTTCTTGTAGATATCTAGGAAAAACCCTGGTGTTATGTTTCTTGGGGATATCTAGGAAGAACCCAGGTGTTATGTTCCTTGGAGATATTTATGAGCAACCCTAGTGTTATGTTTCTTGTAGATATATAGGAAGAACCCTGGTGTTATGTTCCTTGGAGATAGCTAGGAAAAACCCTGGTGTTATGTTTCTTGTAGATATCTAGGAAAAACCCTGGTGTTATGCTCCTTGCAGATATCTAGGAAGAACCCAGGTGTTATGTTTCTTGGATATATCTATGAAGAACCTTGGTGTTATGTTCCCTGGAGATATCTAGGAAGAACCCTGGTGTTATGTTTCTTGTAGATATATAGTAAGAACCCTGGTGTTATGTTTCTTGTAGATATATAGTAAGAACCCTGGTGTTATGTTCCCTGGAGATATCGAGGAAAAACCCAGGTGTTATGTTCCTTTGAGATATCTACAAAGAACCCTGGTGTTATGTTTCTTGGATATATCAAAGAAGAACTCTGGTGTTATGTTCCATGGATTTTTCAAGGAAGAACCCTGGTGTTATGTTCCTTGTAGATATCTAGGAAGAACCCTGGTGTTATGTTTCTTGGAGATATCTAGGAAGAACCCTGGTGTTATGTTCCATGGATATTTCAAGGAAGAACCTTGGTGTTATGTTTCTTGGGGATATCTAGGAAGAACCCTGGTGTTATGTTTCTTGGGGATATGTAGTAAGGATCCTGGTGTTATGTTTCTTCTTGGAGATATCTAGGAAGAACCCTGGTGTTATGTTTCTTCTTGGAGATATCTAGGAAAAACCTTGGTGTTATGTTCCTTGATGATATCTAGGAAGAACCCTGGTGTTATGTTCCTTGGAGATATCTAGGAAGAACTCAGGTGTTATGTTCCTTGTAGATATCTAGGAAGAACCATGGTGTTATGTTTCTTGGGGATATCTAGGAAGAACCCAGGTGTTATGGTTCTTGGAGCTCAATTGTTTGGTATTTTGAAATCCTTTTAATTTTCTTGTCAAGTTTTCTTATCCTTCAACTTGAGGCTCTTGAGGCCCTTTGTTCAGTATTTTAAAGCTCTCTCATTAAGTTTTTTTAGCTTTGTTGTCTTTGAGCTCCATTTTTGAGTTTCATGGAGATTCATTCAGTTTTTGCTAGTTGTAAAATGTCTTAATTTTTATTACCCTGTTATGTGTGTACAACAATTCCCAGAAATAACATGAATTAAAATATTGTGAATTTCAAAATGGACACCCAATTTGAAGAACTTGGGAGTTGGAGGGAGGCTATGAAATATATGTCAAGTATGATGTTCAATGAGCTAGCTACCAGCCAGTTAAAGGAGAACCCTTCTCAAAATGACCCGGGCGATAAATCGGGCAAACCAACAAACTAAATAACACTAATACTGCAAGCTTTTCTGTAATGAAAGTACAATCACCTACAGTCTACATTATTGAGAAAGATGTCAAACGTGTGGTGGTTTATTTATTCTTGGCCCTCAAGACAGTATATTATGTTACGAAAATGATGCCTTTGCCAAAATTGTGATCTGTTGTCCTACAATGTGTCGCCAAAAATACCAGGTAACCTCTCTTTGAGATTGGCTTTCAAATTATTAGTTTATGTACCTGCCAAAAATTAACTAATTAACAGAAAAGCTGCAGGCAGGACTGCATATTAAAAGACATGAGACTCTGGAACATGCATTAGTTGTGTTTGACCATCAATCCTTTATGTCTGTCTATCTCAGGATTTCCAGTTAACTGGAAATCAACTTCTTTGAAAAGTTTTAGTAAACTTACCAATTAGTGTTGAGATCATCCATATTACAGTTATGAATATCACTATAAACAATATTGCATATGACACTGGGTAATAAATGTTTGTCAAACCTTGTTTTCATTCAAACTTTAGATATGTTACTTCCAGTATGTTTGTATATCTAAAGTATGTAAAATATTTGGTTATTTCAGATCACAAAATTATAGCACCATCAAATACATTTATATATATTTGAGTAATATTAATGGCAATGTATGAAAGTATGTATATATTTTATTTTCTATAATTATGTTAGAAATAAAAGTTATGTGTCCAGAATTTTCTTTCTAAAAATTCTATGTATTTTGATTAACCTCATTACTACAGAATTTTTACAAGATCATTATGTACATATTGTACCACCAGCATTTTCTTACTTGCCAACCTGAAATATCTGAGTATTATGATGTTAAATAACTGTATATGTTACACAGCGATCTAAACTCCAGCCACTATTGCTAGGAATGACGGACTTGGGATGATGGTGACTGGATTATGGAGTTCCAGTAAACTATCTTGTTTAAGAATTCAGACAGAATTAGAATTTCGATCCAACTAGAGGTACAGCAGACATGTTGTAGTATATAATCAATACACAATTTCTATGTACATATTCTATCTTGTTGTAACCCAGTTTTCTTGTATTGTCTTTGCAGTGTTCTTCATCCAGTTTTGAGTCTGCAATTCTCGGAGAAGCCCATGGTCTTATCACGGACATGCTTGCGGATGTGTCATTACCACCTAATGTTATCAGTGGCTTGAGAACTTTAGGAAATCTTCTCAAGCCAGCAGAGAGTCATTCGTCTTTCCACAAACCACGCGTCAGTCCATTGGTGTCCCTCACAGAGTCCACCAACTACAGTTCAGACAATGAGGAGAGTCCATACACTGGGGAACGACCCTCCATGTTACCCAAGGTTCACATCCTTTTCTTGTATTCATGTGGAAAATTCAATTAAGGTGGTTTGAATATTGATCACTGTATTTCTTACAGGAAGGCTCTTGGATACATGGAGGAATAACTTTCCTTGTTAAACTAGGCTGAAAGTCTCCTCTCAACAGCCCTTACAAAATTCATAATGTTGATAATAAGGGGCTGTGGAAAATTGAGAAAATACTAAAAAATATTGTGAGGTATTTTTCATTTTTGAGGGGTTTTATTTTCTGCTCTTAACAATGATAGGATGAAAAACTACACTGTCTTCTCTGTGTATAAACCATTCCCCTACTCTTTACCTTGTTTAAACAATTTCTCTGTCCTTTCTCTCATTTAAACTATTTCTTTATTGCTTTCATCGTTGAGGTATATAGTCTATTATCTTCACTGTCTATTTAGAATATAATTTATGAAAGGTGATAGATTTACATAAAGATATAGTGTTTTGTTTTTTTTTAAGCTTTCAGTAGAATTATGAAACCCATCCACTACCATATCCCACCTATCACCCCCAAAAATGATCATCCTTTACAGAAAGCATCCACTCCCAACCTGTCATCCCAAAAATAATCATCCATTACAGAAACCATCCACTCCCCACCTGTCATTCCAAAAATAATCATCCTTTACAGAAACCATCCACTACCCACCTGTCATTCCAAAAATAATCATCCTTTACAGAAACCATCCACTACCAACCTGTCATCCCAAAAATAATCAGCCTTTACAGAAACCATCCACTCCCCACCTATCACCCCAAAAAATAATCATCCATTACAGAAACCATCCACTCCCCACCTGTCACCCCAAAAAATAATCATCCTTTACAGAAACCATCCACTCCCCACCTGTCACCCCAAAAATAATCAGCCTTTACAGAAACCATCCACTCCCCACCTGTCATCCCAAAAATAATCAGCCTTTACAGAAATCATCCACTCCCCACCTGTCATCCCAAAAATAATCATCCTTTACAGAAACCATCCACTCCCCACCTGTCATCCCAAAAATAATCATCCTTTACAGAAACCATCCACTACCCACCTGTCATCCCAAAAATAATCAGCCTTTACAGAAACCATCCACTCCCCACCTGTCACCCCAAAAATAATCAGCCTTTACAGAAACCATCCACTCCCCACCTGTCACCCCAAAAATAATCATCCTTTACAGAAACCATCCACTACCCACCTATCACCCCAAAAAATAATCATCCTTTACAGAAACCATCCACTCCCCACCTGTCACCCCAAAAATAATCATCCTTTACAGAAACCATCCACTACCCACCTGTCACCCCAAAAATAATCATCCTTTACAGAAACCATCCACTCCCCACCTGTCATCCCAAAAATAATCATCCTTTACAGAAACCATCCACTACCCACCTTTCACCCCAAAAATAATCAGCCTTTACAGAAACCATCCACTTCCCACCTGTCACCCCAAAAATAATCAGCCTTTACAGAAACCATCCACTACCCACCTGTCATTCCAAAAATAATCATCCTTTACAGAAACCATCCACTACCCACCTATCACCCCAAAAAATAATCAGCCTTTACAGAAACCATCCACTCCCCACCTGTCACCCCAAAAAATAATCAGCCTTTACAGAAACCATCCACTACCCACCTGTCACCCCAAAAATAATCATCCTTTACAGAAACCATCCACTACCCACCTATCACCCCAAAAAATAATCAGCCTTTACAGAAACCATCCACTCCCCACCTGTCATCCCAAAAATAATCAGCCTTTACAGAAACCATCCACTCCCCACCTGTCATTCCAAAAATAATCATCCTTTACAGAAACCATCCACTACCCACCTATCACCCCAAAAAATAATCAGCCTTTACAGAAACCATCCACTCCCCACCTGTCACCCCAAAAAATAATCAGCCTTTACAGAAACCATCCACTACCCACCTGTCACCCCAAAAATAATCATCCTTTACAGAAACCATCCACTCCCCACCTGTCACCCCAAAAAATAATCAGCCTTTACAGAAACCATCCACTACCCACCTGTCACCCCAAAAATAATCATCCTTTACAGAAACCATCCACTCCCCACCTGTCATCCCAAAAATAATCATCCTTTACAGAAACCATCCACTACCCACCTGTCACCCCAAAAATAATCAGCCTTTACAGAAACCATCCACTACCCACCTGTCATTCCAAAAATAATCATCCTTTACAGAAACCATCCACTACCCACCTATCACCCCAAAAAATAATCAGCCTTTACAGAAACCATCCACTCCCCACCTGTCACCCCAAAAAATAATCAGCCTTTACAGAAACCATCCACTACCCACCTGTCACCCCAAAAATAATCAGCCTTTACAGAAACCATCCACTACCCACCTATCACCCCAAAAAATAATCAGCCTTTACAGAAACCATCCACTACCCACCTGTCATCCCAAAAATAATCAGCCTTTACAGAAACCATCCACTACCCACCTGTCATTCCAAAAATAATCATCCTTTACAGAAACCATCCACTACCCACCTATCACCCCAAAAAATAATCAGCCTTTACAGAAACCATCCACTCCCCACCTGTCATCCCAAAAATAATCATCCATTACAGAAACCATCCACTCCCCACCTGTCTTTCCAAAAATAATCAGCCTTTACAGAAACCATCCACTCCCCACCTGTCATTCCAAAAATAATCATCCTTTACAGAAACCATCCACTACCCACCTGTCATCCCAAAAATAATCAGCCTTTACAGAAACCATCCACTCCCTACCTGTCATTCCAAAAATAATCATCCTTTACAGAAACCATCCACTACCAACCTGTCATTCCAAAAATAATCAGCCTTTACAGAAACCATCCACTACCCACCTGTCATTCCAAAAATAATCATCCTTTACAGAAACCATCCACTCCCCACCTGTCATTCCAAAAATAATCATCCTTTACAGAAACCATCCACTACCAACCTGTCATTCCAAAAATAATCAGCCTTTACAGAAACCATCCACTACCCACCTGTCATTCCAAAAATAATCAGCCTTTACAGAAACCATCCACTCCCCACCTGTCTTTCCAAAAATAATCAGTCTTTACAGAAACCATCCACTCCCCACCTGTCACCCCAAAAATAATCAGCCTTTACAGAAACCATCCACTACCCACCTGTCTTTCCAAAAATAATCATCCTTTACAGAAACCATCCACTCCCCACCTGTCTTTCCAAAAATAATCATCCTTTACAGAAACCATCCACTACCCACCTGTCACCCCAAAAAATAATCAGCCTTTACAGAAACCATCCACTCCCCACCTATCACCCCAAAAATAATCAGCCTTTACAGAAACCATCCACTCCCCACCTGTCACCCCAAAAAATAATCATCCTTTACAGAAACCATCCACTCCCCACCTGTCACCCCAAAAATAATCATCCTTTACAGAAACCATCCACTCCCCACCTGTCACCCCAAAAATAATCATCCTTTACAGAAACCATCCACTCCCCACCTGTCACCCCAAAAATAATCAGCCTTTACAGAAACCATCCACTACCCACCTGTCTTTCCAAAAATAATCAGCCTTTACAGAAACCATCCACTCCCCACCTGTCATTCCAAAAATAATCAGCCTTTACAGAAACCATCCACTACCCACCTATCACCCCAAAAAATAATCAGCCTTTACAGAAACCATCCACTACCCACCTGTCATCCCAAAAATAATCAGCCTTTACAGAAACCATCCACTACCCACCTGTCATTCCAAAAATAATCATCCTTTACAGAAACCATCCACTACCCACCTATCACCCCAAAAAATAATCAGCCTTTACAGAAACCATCCACTCCCCACCTGTCATCCCAAAAATAATCATCCATTACAGAAACCATCCACTCCCCACCTGTCTTTCCAAAAATAATCAGCCTTTACAGAAACCATCCACTCCCCACCTGTCATTCCAAAAATAATCATCCTTTACAGAAACCATCCACTACCCACCTGTCATCCCAAAAATAATCATCCTTTACAGAAACCATCCACTCCCCACCTGTCATTCCAAAAATAATCATCCTTTACAGAAACCATCCACTACCAACCTGTCATTCCAAAAATAATCAGCCTTTACAGAAACCATCCACTACCCACCTGTCATTCCAAAAATAATCATCCTTTACAGAAACCATCCACTCCCCACCTGTCATTCCAAAAATAATCATCCTTTACAGAAACCATCCACTACCAACCTGTCATTCCAAAAATAATCAGCCTTTACAGAAACCATCCACTACCCACCTGTCATTCCAAAAATAATCAGCCTTTACAGAAACCATCCACTCCCCACCTGTCTTTCCAAAAATAATCAGCCTTTACAGAAACCATCCACTCCCCACCTGTCACCCCAAAAATAATCATCCTTTACAGAAACCATCCACTACCCACCTGTCTTTCCAAAAATAATCATCCTTTACAGAAACCATCCACTCCCCACCTGTCTTTCCAAAAATAATCATCCTTTACAGAAACCATCCACTCCCCACCTATCACCCCAAAAATAATCAGCCTTTACAGAAACCATCCACTCCCCACCTGTCACCCCAAAAAATAATCATCCTTTACAGAAACCATCCACTCCCCACCTGTCACCCCAAAAATAATCATCCTTTACAGAAACCATCCACTCCCCACCTGTCACCCCAAAAATAATCATCCTTTACAGAAACCATCCACTCCCCACCTGTCACCCCAAAAATAATCAGCCTTTACAGAAACCATCCACTACCCACCTGTCATCCCAAAAATAATCAGCCTTTACAGAAACCATCCACTCCCCACCTGTCACCCCAAAAATAATCATCCTTTATAGAAACCATCCACTACCCACCTGTCATTCCAAAAATAATCAGCCTTTACAGAAACCATCCACTACCCACCTGTCATCCCAAAAATAATCAGCCTTTACAGAAACCATCCACTCCCCACCTGTCATCCCAAAAATAATCAGCCTTTACAGAAACCATCCACTACCCACCTGTCATCCCAAAAATAATCATCCTTTACAGAAACCATCCACTCCCCACCTGTCACCCCAAAAATAATCATCCTTTACAGAAACCATCCACTCCCCACCTGTCATTCCAAAAATAATCATCCATTACAGAAACCATCCACTACCCACCTGTCATTCCAAAAATAATCATCCTTTACAGAAACCATCCACTACCCACCTGTCACCCCAAAAATAATCATCCTTTACAGAAACCATCCACTCCCCACCTATCACCCCCAAAAATAATCATCCATTACAGAAACCATCCACTCCCCACCTGTCACCCCAAAAATAATCAGCCTTTACAGAAACCATCCACTACCCACCTGTCACCCCAAAAATAATCATCCTTTACAGAAACCATCCACTCCCCACCTATCACCCCCAAAAATAATCATCCATTACAGAAACCATCCACTACCCACCTGTCATCCCAAAAATAATCAGCCTTTACAGAAACCATCCACTACCAACCTGTCACCCCAAAAATAATCATCCTTTACAGAAACCATCCACTCCCCACCTATCACCCCCAAAAATAATCATCCATTACAGAAACCATCCACTCCCCACCTGTCACCCCAAAAATAATCAGCCTTTACAGAAACCATCCACTACCCACCTATCACCCCCAAAAAATAATCATCCTTTACAGAAACCATCCACTACCCACCTGTCATTCCAAAAATAATCATCCTTTACAGAAACCATCCACTACCAACCTGTCACCCCAAAAATAATCATCCTTTACAGAAACCATCCACTACCCACCTGTCATTCCAAAAATAATCATCCTTTATAGAAACCATCCACTACCCACCTGTCATTCCAAAAATAATCATCCTTTACAGAAACCATCCACTCCCCACCTGTCACCCCAAAAATAATCATCCTTTACAGAAACCATCCACTACCCACCTGTCACTCAAACATAAAGTGCTATTGGATTACTTCCAAAAGCATTTTTTGCTTCAAGATCCTAGGCTACTCAATTTTGATATCTTGATAAAGAAATAAGTAATATAATTCAGATTTATTACACCAAGGCACCGGTACTTAATTTTATGTTACCCAGGGTAAATGTATGTTCTGATATTTGTGAATTTAATTAAAGTTTAGATACATACTACATAAAATATTATTGTCTGTGTCAAGTAATATATCCTTTTCTTAACTCAACATTTCCAGTCCTAGTCAGGTAGAAAATGGGATTAGCTTTGTCCAAATCAATCATCGGTGATCAAAGTGGACCCAGGGATTGGTAGCATTATTGATTAGAAATAAGTACTTTATGATGAATATATTCCCTCAGATAATATGTATGTTATGGAAAGATAAAGTAACAGAATCTGATTTACCTGAAGTGTCAATTATTTTAATACACCAATCACTGGAAATTATGCAGATAATGGTAATCAGCCCCATCAATAACGTTACATCTATGTCTTTAACTGGCTTTAGCTCAGTGTTCAATATGACAACAACCTTTTAAAGCTTTATGTAAAATATTTTCGGTTTTTATCATAGGGCTTTCATTTTTTGTTGGTCCGTCAAAAGTATGTCCTTGCAAATTTTGCACTTTAAAGCTAATTGTCTGTTATTTTATGGTGAACAGTTGTAAATGTAGAGTTACGTGATGGTTGTTAATTCTTCAAATGTTTATAAAACTGATATCAGATCTGTAGATTTTTGGGGGAAATTTAGGCATATATGTGAAAAAGTTTTATGAAAAATAGAAGTGAATATTTATAGAAAAATTATTTGATTTTTTAGCATCAGAAAATCATTTTTCATTTGTGCACTAAATCTACATATGTACATGGAATATTGAATTACAACATTGTTGAAAATATTTTGGATTTTAAGCTTATCAGGCTCCTGAGGATCTAGGCCCTGGTGGTCGGTGACCTCATCAAATATGCATTAGATTGACATCAAGTATTGATCTGCTTGTGAGGATCATGTGCAACACAGTGTTGGATGAATATCTTGTCTCCATGATTAATTCTGACAATAAAAGAATTAGGAATAAAAGAGATAGTCATTATACGTGGATGCACCTCAGTATAATTCAATAAAATTGAGGCATTTGTTTATCATTCTGTCATAAAACACCGCCAAGAAATCTATGAAGAAATGTTCATTATAAAACTGCATGCAATTCTCACCAAACAATCCTAACCTACCAATTAAATGAAAATTTGCTTGATCTATGAAAAAGAAATTCAGATTTATTTAAATATGGCCACTGTCAAAGAGACTCCAAAAGGAACCAAAATGGGATGATCCAGTAAATAATATCTCAATTTTCAATAAACTTTAATTGCCAAAAGGGTCAACTGTTCAGAGAGCAATACAAAGCGCATGTAACTTTAACAGTTGATAGTTAGATGATTACATTGTTTGATATTCTAAATTATTACATTGTTCTTCATCTCCTTACAGAAAATGCGTAGGAGTCTGCCACCGAGCCTGATTCGTCGTATGTCCACCAGTACCTGGACAACAACAACCTCTGCAACAGGCATGCCCACTCTGGAGTTGGAACCTTGTCGGATCCGGAGTTCAAGCTTCCGACACTCTCGTGATGGAACACCTGCCTCCAGTCCGGTGGGAAGCCGTAGTAATAGTCCCTCCCCAAGCTCCCCAACAGTCATTCTAACAATTCCAAAATCACGCTCATTCTCTCTTGCTTCACCCTCGCCTGCGGGATCTAGCCATTCCAAGCGATTTTCACGTAAAAGCATGGCTTCCTCTGTCCAGGGACTGGAAAGTTCCATTGGAAGGGGGGATAGCTTATCATCATCATCATCTTCCTCTAAACATATCAGTTCATACTCTACTAGTACTACTAAAGAAGATTCTGATTTTTCCCCTTCTGCCATGGATGAGGGAGACCACTCTAAACTTCCTCTCATTAAAGAACAGCAGATGACCTCTCTTCGCAGGTTAAACATTACCTCAGATTACGAGAGTAATGACTCTCCCAGTAGCAGTGATCATAGTGACAGTGTGGTGACCTCGGACGACCTTGTATCAGGGTCGCCTCCCAAGAGGCCCGTGTACAACCGAGGGTCATCCTCATCTCAGGCAGCTTCACAGTTTAGAAGGGTAAGTGGCATGCTTTGGAAAAACACCCCTGTTAGGTGATTGACCAATGTTGTAGGGGTCAGTAGGGCATAGTTCATTGTTTTATGTCAAAATTAATGTATTGGATTAGAAAATCTAATGAAAAATTTCCTCCTATCATTCATCTAATTTGAATAAAATGTTGATGTAAGGAAAATCTGAAGGTCCGGTTTCCATTACGTCAGTTTATGACTGAAGATTCAAATTTGAATCATTCTAATTGATATCGTGAATTATGTAAAAGAATGATAGATTGGATTTAAATAGATTTCACTAGATTTTGATGGTTGGTAGAACAGATATAGGAAGTTGATAAGATTGATGCATTAGGAGATATGGAGTATCCATCATTCTTGGTTCCTGTTCTGTGTGTAAACGGCTGTATTGATATATTGTAAACCAACTTTCTTTCATGTTTGATACATACTTGTGCAAATTTTGCGAAAATTAATCTCCATGAATCAAAACATGGATAATGAAGACGGAGTTCTCTTTTGCTACCTTATGATGATTACTATTTACTATACATGCAGTTTATTCTGAACTGATGTCTTCAGACATACATACAGCTGTAATCTGAGATTATATTCAGTATCAAGGACAATTTATTTCCTTGGGTGTTCGATTGTGAATTAAATGAAACTCTCTAATGGAGATCTATATTATGTTTACAAAGCCATGCAAGTTTTTAAATAACTAAACAACCTTCAAATTGCTATCTAAACGAGGACACGAGACCCCTGATGATTTAAAAGTTATACTTGTATATTCCTCTGGCTATTGCACTTTCTGCTAATTACTAGGTTTCAAAAGTCGTTCAGGTCTATGAACAGGTCACTACTGACCTGTGTCCCTTAAAAGTTTTACTATAAGCTAGCCTATTGTGGCCAAATAAGCAACTCGATATGTCTCCCCAGAGAAAGAAGACCATGCCATTACATTATACAACATTAGTTCAAAATTTGGGCAAGTAAATAGCTGCTTATTTGTTGCATTGCTGATATGGCAAAAGATTGTAGCTGTGGAAAAGAAAGTTGGTTTACTGTATCTCTTGTGTGGTCACCTAGTTGCTCTTCTAAGTATATGGTATTCATCATCTCTTGACCTAGATACTTTCTCTTCAAAATGTCTACTGTAGAAATCAAAAGACTTTTCATTCTATTTACTATTCTGAGTTACCTGGTCATTCTGTTGAATGTAAGGTGTAGATAAAGAAAGGGCTGGTTACCCAGGTTATTCATCTGATTGTATGGTGCAGATAAGCACCATACACTCAGATGAATAACAAGTTGTCGTGATTATCCAAGTTACTCCTCTGAGTGAATGGTGTTGATAAGGAAAGGGCTGTAGAATAAAAGTTCTTTTAACACTACAAGTAGAAGATTTGAGAATGACATTTCAATGACTACACTGTCACCTTCATAAGACAAATGACCAGTGTGGAGCATGCCAACACTAATATACATAGCATACCATGTAGTTAGGAATCAACCAACTTTTGGCTGAACTATAAACCCATGTATCCTGATCTGAAAATAGTGTGATGAGATAGTAAACAGATTATAGATTTGGCTACACTTTGTTTAACACTAAGTCATATATGACCAGCCTGAAAAGGTTAATGACTATTTGGAATTTTCCCACTCCATGATATGATGTGTGGAATGATTGTAAGTTCTGATTTATATGATTATTGATCTGGGACTGAGGTTTTTGCTGATCTGATGAATATTTTGCCCTCTTAGGATTCCAAGTCTTTCTGATGTTGAATAAGTCAGCCTCCAAATCTCTTGCTTGTTTCTCTGATATACAATGCGTCACGATTCTGGCATCTAATTTTGTATAAGCATTCTTTGATGTTCTCCGCGAGTGTTTTGTCCTCAGAGAGGACTAGAAGGTTTGAGGGAGTCTTGGGAGGTTTCATGGCTGTTGCAATATCATGACAACAGGAAATTTTCTGAATGGATTCTGACAGGCATTTGATGTAAGGGATGACTACCTGTTCTTTCTTTTTGTTCTTTTCCTTGTTGTTGCATCTCTTACTATTTTCTTTGCTTTCGCTATATTTGTTGTTCATTTCTGGATTGACAGATCAGGGTTGCCATGTGTTTTTATGTCACTAAGGATAAGATTTTGTTCTTGTTTCTTACATTGTTCTTCTGTGAAAATCTCACATCCGTTGAACAAAGTTTTTACGACGTTCAACATCTGATGTAAAGGGTTTTGCAATCAGAAGTTGAATAATTTGTCTGTGTGCATCTTTTTCCTCAAGACCATTACTTTGATAGTACTATTATCTTTCTTTACTGGAAGAGTGTCAGGGAATAGCATAGTGCCATCTGTTTTTTCCTTGCTGGTGAATTTGATGCTGTTGGTGGTATCTATGGTATTGATATGGGCAATCAAGTCTTTCTGTAACCCTTTCTTGACTATTCCAAAGTTGTCATCACCATATCTTTCCACAGACTAAGCTTGTAGGGCTGTGGCTGTAGCCTCTGTCTCCAAGTGCTCCATAAATAAGTTGGCCACAATCTCACGCACTGGTCTGCCCATGGCTGTGCCAAACCGTTGCTGATAGATGGTATCTCGGAAAGCAAAGTATGGTGTTGTAAGGACAAATTCTTGTAAATCCATGATGTCTTGGATATGGAAACTGGTGTTCGTTCACCATGACTGGTTTTGCTCTAGGCAGCTCAGAATGATACCATATGCTTTGTCAGTGTCAGTTAAAAAAGGCCCTACAGTGTATGAAATGAATTCCTGATTGTTTTGGATAAGGTCTGCAAAGTCTTTAGAGTTTTTGACTTGATCTTGCACATCTAGAACGAAGTATTAAACAAAGTGTTGCCAAATTGACTTCAAAATATTGATATTATGTTGTGTACTTTTTCCCCAATAATCTGCTACCATCTCATCAGACTATTTTCAACTTTATTGTACATAAGATTATAGTACAGCCAATAATTGATCAATTCCATACCAACTCATATACTAAGTACGTCATGGCTTTTTGTACCCTTCACAGGGGTCATTTGCCTGTGAAGGTGACCGTGTAGTCATCAATATGTCACACTCAAATCTTCTACTAGTTGTGTGATGAAAACTTTAATTCTATTGCAAATACCAATGCAAAGAAAATGTTCAAAAATACAAGATGGACTGGTTGCCCTAGTAACCAATGTTATACCTCTGAGTGTATGGTGTTAATAAGGAAATGGCTGGTTGCCCTGGTTACCCTCTTGAATGTATGATGTAGATAAGAAAAATGGTTGGTCACCCTGGTTATCCCAAATTCATGGTGTAGATAGGGAAATAGGTTGTCACCCTAGTTATCCTTCTGAGTGTGTGGTGTGAATAAGGAAATGGTCTGCTGTCATGGTTACCCTAGTTCCCTTTCTGAGTGTGTATTGTAGATAAAAAAAAATGCGGGTTAGCCAGGTTACCCATCTGAATGTATGATCCTCTTTCAAGTGTATGTTATGAATTAGGATAATATTTGTATATCATTTGTCACTCGTTCTAATCATTGAGTATAGAGCTTACCGTTTTAGGGAGTGAGGGAATCTGCTCTCTGTTCTAGGGAGAAAGTTTTTGTTAATAGCTTGGTGAGTGTATGACAACTAAGAAACTTTCCCTTAAGGTTTAGATCATTACAGATATTTTTTTTCCTCTTTTCCTGTTGACTTTGTCTGACAGCAGTGTTGATGGATCAATGGATTGTTGAAGTGGTGTTAGTCTAATTTCAACACAGCATCATGATAAGGTTATTTTACTAGGTATCCTGGGAAAAGCCTGGACGTGTCTGTAAAGGCAAGAGAAAAGCAGTTCTTTTATATTTAGGCAAAATATAACATTCAAGCTTGTTGAAAGCCTAAAAATCTTTACATTAATATTCCCCATCCTTTCCCTTTTCTTACATATTCTAAACATTAGTGCCCATGCTGAACAACTAAAAACTATACTTGACATGTTCTAGACATGTTGAACATACATGTACACCTATTCTCTGTTTGTAAATGCTAAGCATAGCAAGAATCTGTTTTGCACATCATCTTCTTTACCTGTGTAACTTCAGTTAACTAATGATAAGATTTCTACTCACTAGGATATTTCTTTTTCTATTTAGATACTTTTCATTGGTCCATTCTTTTAACATCAAACATGTCAGCCTCTTCTTGTCTCTGATTTGCTAAAACTTTATCTGCTTTTCAATTTGAATCCCACCAATTTTAACAAAACTTGATATCAAAGTTTCTCTTGTGGCCAGTGTCAAATTGTTGCTTTCAAATGAATTCCCAATTAAAGATGAACACCTTTTGTCAGCAATTATTATCAGCCTCTCAATTTTCACAAGGCCAAACTTAATTTGATAATGCACTGTGGTTCTTATTAGATGCTGCTACTTATAGAGTTGAATCATTGCCCTGGTTTGTCTCAAAAGCTTGGAATTAATCTCATTTTCATTCTATAAATATTAGCAATTTTAACTTTGTTTGCACATTAAAACTTCAATATGATACACAGCAGTTTTATGTTATTGAGGCATCATGTAAATTTTACTGTAACAACTCTAAGAGTCAAAATAGAAATCAAATTATCATGTGAAATTAGCAGAAATAATGTCTTGTTAGTTGAAATAAAAACAAAAAAATGGGTTAGTGATACAGGCCCGTTTGATTTCTTTTTTAGTTCTCGAAGTCTGCCTTTGAAATTAAGACAATTTCGCAAACTCAAGTTTTGATAGAGAAAAGTATTAGAATTAATTGCTTCACTGATTGGGAAATAAAAAACCAAACATATCAAAGTGTTGAATTAAGTAATTGAAACAGAAACTCTATAAAAGCATTGTAAAATAACTTGACTGCTTGTGTATATACTGTTCTTTGTTGTTGTTTACTTTCCTGTCAAAGTAGCTGTTTGTTATGATTTAATACATCACAGTTATACATGTCAGAGTACCAGACATACAAAACAATTCCTTT